TATATAGAATAATCCTAAATTGATTACAACAAATGAATTGAGGATATATGAGAAAATCCTAGAATTGAAAGCAAAAGAGACATTCTTTTTTTGGCTGTGAAATCTTCACAAATCTCACAGTATAAGAGATTTTCTTTGAAATTTATTATCTATATTTTTTACCAAAAGTCTCCAGAAGTCCACTAAGTAAAGAATTCTCCAGAAGTCACTATCTATTTGAATACCTCATGACTTATAAAGATTTCTAAAAAGTTTCAATTGAGTACTTCGTGACTTTTAGAGGCTTTTTAAATGTCTATTGAAGTCACAACTGAATATATCTAAAATTTTAGAAAATCTTTAAAGTTTCAATTGAATACACCTAAACATTTTAAATCCTCAAAAGTTTATAAAAGTCACAAACCCTTTGTATTCAATAGTTTTCTGAAATTAAAATATCAATTTTTAAAATTTTCATTACTTTTGGTGTTCTACTTTTTTTAGAAGTATTGTTTCTGCACGTCGACTCAGCCGTATTTTGTTTTCTATTTTCCATTTCTGCAGTTGCTCCGTCTAGCATTGCCGGTATTAGTGGCTTACAAAGAACTGCCGCTAGCCACCAAGAATTTGACCTATCCAATGCCAAATAAAATATGTGATGGGAGGTATAATTTTGATGATTTTCATAACGTTGAATGATTCTGAATCTAATCCACCATGATCTCATGTTCTCAGCATACCACAATTGTAAGATTTTCGCTGTCTAACAGAAATCGACATGATGAGAACAAATTCGAAACACCAACCATGAACATGGTGGATGGGCAATGGCCGACGGCGATGGTGGTGGCTTATAGAGAATTAGGCTTGGGCTTTTCTTATCTTTTTTGCTAGCAAGAATGTAATGACAATCAACAAAGTCAATAAAACCCTAATATTATTAGGATTAGTAAACCCAACCTAAAGGGCGTGGTAGTATTTCGATCCAGACAAGCTAGTTTCCTTTATGATTCAAATTCTTTTAGAGCCAAATTTTGATGCATCTTGACCTAATTTTGCCATCTATAAGTACAGAATAAGAGCTTCGCATGGGAGGATCTCTCTCTCACCTCTCAAATTACAATCATATAATAAAATCTATCGAGAAATGAGGTGTCAATTCAATATCTGTTAGAATGGAAAGGAGAACAATTCTAGCACGTGGTGGAGATCTTGTGGCAATGGTGGCAAAAGGAGGTGATGGTGGTTGTGGAAGGCAACTACTGGTGGATACTTGAAGGATTACCATTGTCGATTAATAAAGATCAGGGTTAAAGTTTGTAAATTAGTTATACCAGAGGTATAAAAATGTTGGACAATGAGTTAATTTTCAGAAAGTGTTAATCAATATAGATGAAATTTCAAAAATCGAAAGTATTTTACAGTTTTTTAAATCTATTTTTTGGACCGTCAGTACACATTTCTATTTCGTTTTGTGTTTGTCCCAATTTTAATTTATAGTAGTAAATAATATTTCTCATAATATATGGATTCTGTTTTGTAATTTCGTAGAGTCTTGTATAAGGGTGGACGTGGTTCCATTTGGTTCTAGTTCAAAGAGAACCGAACTGAACCGAACCATGAACCAATGATTTTTCTGATAATGAAACCGAAAGGTTTTTTTTTAAGAAGTGGAAACAAACCAGAACCGAACCATTCAATTCTGGTTTGGTTTGATTTGGTTCTAGTAGACTAGTACTTTTACTTAAGTTTTCAGTCTTGCACAATATTTATAAGTTAGTAATATGTACTTAAATAAAAAATATAAGCATCAAACATTTAACAAGTTCAAATTATCAATAATCAAGATTGTTAGATTTTGTATTGGCTATTCTGTGAACAAAAGGGTAAAATTGTAAATGTTCAAAAGTTTGGGGTCAATTTGTCAATTATTAAAGGTTAGGGGTCATTGTGTACATATGTAAAAGATAAGGGACTCGGTTGCAATTTTGACAAAGTGTGCTAGGGTTCGAGCTATGAAGTAGGGCAAGATGTGTTGTTGAAATTTCGCTAGCTGCTCGCCAAGTGGTCGCTCGAGCGACAAAAACAGAATGGTCGTCGCTCGCCTCTCACCCCCACTTCGCTTGAGCGAAAAAGCGTCGCTCGCTTTTCGCTCGAGCGACAATGTTACCCATAAAACCCTATTTTCCTTTTTCGGCATTTTAACCCGACCAAAAATATCCAAATACACATATATGAGAAAAATCGCTCCGATTTCGAGTCGTGCTCTCAAGGTATTGAAATTGAAGAAAACTCTCCTATACTTTGATTCTCTCATTCAACCCCATATTTGATTTGAGCAATTACATGAAAAATATCAAATTAACATTCACCAAACACCACAACACAACCTTCTAGAGCCTTTGTTGATTCTTGGAGATCGAGGAAGGAGATCGGAGTCCTGATCATTAGAGAACAGGCAGTTCTCTTGAATCCACACGAGATAGACAAAATCAAGACCCGGGAATTGGTGTAGCACACAATCCAGGAGGGCTAGGTGCCGGGAGTTGGTGCAGGATCACGTATTCCAGGAAGGTCTTGAGGAAACTATGGTCAGGATGTCAGAAAAACTAGTGTAATTTGAGTCTGGTTGATTGTAAGTTTCATTTCCGTTTATAGTGGATTCCTACTGGCTTGGGCCCAGAGTTTTACCCACATTGGGGTTTCTCCATCATCAAACAATTTTGTTATTTATCTTTCTACAATTAATTTATGACCGGTATTCAAACATGGAATAGTAAAGCATGTGAACTGATCTGGACAAATTAATTTTTGTGATGTGTTGCAATTATTAATTGATTGAAAAAGAAAATTCTGCATAAACACCTATTCACTCCCCTCTAGGTGTTGATTGGGTCGAACTACGATATTTCAAGTGGTATCAGAGCCAAATCTTGAGTCCTTACCCATAATTGTCTAGATGAGTCAATCACTGTCTATGCCTCCGTATTTTAACGGAAGCAACTACGCCTATTGGAAGGTTAGAATGTGTGTGTTTCTTAAGTCCCTAGATGAACATGTCTGGGTGAGTATACAAAATGGTTGGAAACTACCTTCCACCAACTGACATTTCCCTTTGGACTAAGGATAAATTAGCTGAATGCAACTGGAATTGTAAAGGTCTCCATGCATTATTTATGTCTGTGTCTCCTGAAGAGTTTAGAAGAGTGTCAATGTACGACACTACTAAAGAGGTATGGGACATTCTTGAGACAACGCATGAAGGAACTAAAACTGTGAAAAATTCTAAGTTGCAAATGCTGGCCTCAAGGTTTGAAGAAATTAGAATGAAGGATGATGAATCTTTTGATGAGTTCTATGCCAAATTGAATGACATAGTTAACTCTATTTTCAACCTAGGTGAGAGGATTCCCGAGCCCGAAATTGTGAGGAAGGTTCTTAGATCCTTGTCCGAGAGATTTAGATCTAAAGTTACAGCTATTGAAGAAAGCAAGGATCTGGATACAATTAAGATAGAAGAACTCGTAGGATCCCTTCAAACCTATGAACTCACCATTTCACAACCGAGAAAAAACAAGTCCATGGGCCTGAACACTGTTAGGGAAGGGGAGTCTGAGTCATCTGACGTGGAAACTCTTAGAGATGAGGAGATTACCTACTTTGTGAAAAAATTTCAAAAAGTCTTAAAGGACAAAAAATGGCCTCAAGAGAAAAGGAGATGAGCCCCTAGTAAATTGCAAAGAGAGAAGGATGATAAATCAACTACTAGGAACCTTGGTAAGAAATCTCAAGGGGTTAGATGTAATGAGTATCAGGGATTTGGGCACTATAGAAATGAATGTCCTAACTTTAAGAAAAATCTAAAGGAGGGGAGTAGAAAGGCATTAACTGTGTCCTTGACTGACGATGATCCTAATTTAAGTGAACAAAGTGATTCCTCAAGCAGTGAGGAGGAAAAGGGCTATATGGCTTTTGTCTCTACTATCAAGAGTGAGTCAGACAAGGAGAGTGAGACGGTTGAGGAGGAAGTGGAGAGTAACAAGTCCGGTGATGATTCAGAGGATGAAATAGATATACATGAGGCTTATCAACTTCTGTTTAAGAAAAGTCTCAAGATCAAAAAGGTAAATAAAGCCCTATTTAAGAAAGTAGAAGAGCTTGAGAGAGAGAAGGAGAAAATCACCTATGATCTTGAAGTCTCATCCAAGAATCTCAATGACTTGAAGTGTGTCAATGAGAGATTAGAGGAGAGGGTCAAGACATTGACTTGTGAATTAGAGAAATCCAATACTCAACTACAGTCATTTGTGAGTGGAACTAAGAAACTAGACAATCTGTTAGGAATGAACAAACCAACTGGAAATAGTCAAGGTCTAGGATTTTTGAAGAGCGATAGCAATGTGTCTAGTTTATCAAAGACCACACTTGTCCCCGTTTCCAACAGATCTAATGTTTCAACAAATCTAGAATTCAAAGACAAAAATTTTACTGGACTGAAGGCCACTAGAGCTCATAAGATTTCTACACCTAATTTTCATGATCAACACTCACGTACATCTGAACCTAGGTTTATACCCACTTGTCATCACTGTGGTACCTTAGGCCACATGAGACCTAGGTGTCGAAAGCTAGCAAATAGGAATTGAAGTCAGGATATACCTAGTCAGGTGAACTTCCTTTCAAATCAGGTTAGCCACTTAACTGAGATGGTAACAAGGTTGACTAGGATCACCTCGACCTGGAGAAAAGTTTGGGTAAAGAAATCTGATGTGGGTGAGTATACTGAGAATCTAAAATGTTTTGTTGCTCATGTTGCATATAAGGCTCAAAATACATGCATGTGGTATCTTGATAGTGCTTGTTCTTGACACATGTGTAGTAACAAGGCCTTATTCTCTACCTTTGATGACTGTAATGGTGGTGTAGTTACCTTTGGGGATGGAGCTACGGCACCCATCTGAGGTAAAGGCTCCATTACCATTGTTGGACTTCCTACAATATCCAATGTACTTTATGTAGAGGGTCTTAAGTCCAACTTATTGAGCATTAGTCAAATTTGTGATGCTGACTATGAAGTGAGTTTTGTCCAAAAGAGATGCACTGTTTATGACGCTTCCGGTGGTGTTGTTCTTGAAGGTGTTAGAACATCTAATAACTATTATGGAGTTCTTCCAAACTTGAACTATGTATACAGTAGTGCTAAAATTGATATGTTTGAACTTTGGCATCAAATGCTCGGCCATGTTAACTACGGAAGTCTGTCTAAATTGGTCAAAAAGAAGATTATCGATGGTTTACCTAAGATTGATCAAAGTGAGAATGCTGTGTGCAAGCCGTGTTAACAAGGAAAGCAACTCAGGATAAACCATAAGCGAACCTTGAAAATCTTGACGAATAGACCCCTAGAGCTTCTCCATATGGATTTAATGGGACCATCTAGGGTAGAGAGCCTAGGAGGCAAACGGTATATCCTGGTTGTGGTAGATGATTTTTCAAGATATACCTGGATTGATCTGTTAAGAGAAAAATCTGAGACGGGTGATCTGGTTAAGTCCTTATGTAAAAGACTCAAAGTTGAACAAAATCTTCCTATTTCTAGGGTTCGAAGTGATCATAGGAAAGAATTTGAAAACTTCAATCTAGAAAACTTCTGCTTGGAGGAAGGGATTAAGCATGAGTTCTCCTCGCCAATCACTCCACAACAAAATGGAGTTGTTGAGAGGAAGAATAGAGTACTTCAAGAAATGGCTAGGGCCATACTTCACGGCAAGGATCTAGCAATGTATTTCTGGGGTGAAGCTATTAACACGGTGTACCACATAGTATAAAGGGTATACTTGAGACCGAAATCAAACAAGACTCCCTATGAGATCTGGAAAGGCAAGAAGCCTACTGTTAAATACTTTTGGGTGTTTCGCAGCAAGTGTTACATTATGAGGGATAGAGAAAATCTAGGTAAGTTTGATTCCAAAAATGATGATGGGATTTTTCTAGGATATTCTAAGAACAGCAGAGCATACCGAGTTTACAACTTGTGTACTCAGAGTATCTTGGAATCTGTAAATGTTGTTATTGATGATGCCTTTACTGATGGGGAGAGTGCTGAAAATGGGGTTGACATAGAATATCCAAGTGAAGAACAAGGAGCCACTGGTGAAAATAAAGAGCAATCAATCCCAAAATCTCCACACTCCTCAGAAAACATATCTGAACAGGGTCTACCAAATTGGGATCAGTCTAAGCTTCCCAGAGAACCATCTTCCAGGGTCAAATCTAATCATCCTAAGGTTAACATCATTGGGGATTTCGATGAAGGTATGAGGTTACTAAAGAGAGTTCTAAATAACCTAACATATACTAGCTATGTATCCTAGATTGAACCTAAGAAAGTAGATGAAGCCCTTAGAGATGAATGCTGGGTGAATGCCGTGCATGAGGAGCTTAATCAATTCATTCAAAATAATGTTTGGAATCTAGTTCCTAGGCCTGATGACTCTAATGTGATAGGTACTAAGTGGATTTCAAGAACAAAATCGATGATCAAGGTACTATAACTAGAAATAAGGCTAGACTAGTTGCCCAGGGGTACACGCAGGTGGAAGGGGTAGATTTTGATGAGACTTTTGCCCCAGTTGCTCGTCTTGAGTCCATTCGTATTCTTCTTGCGGTTGCATACACCTTAGGTTTCAAGCTATATCAAATGGATATCAAGAGTGCATTCTTGAATTTAATACTTCAAGAAGAGGCGTATATTGAACAACTGAAATGATTCATTGACCCTAAGTTTCCTCATTATGTCTACAAACTAAATAAAGCACTGTATGGTTTGAAACAAGCTCCTAGAGCTTGGTATGATAGACTCACCACTTACCTTGTTGAGCATGGGTTCTCATGAGGTGGTGCTGACAGAACCTTATTCATTAGACATATTGAAGAAACTATCACTATAGCTCAGATCTATTTCGATAACATCATCTTTGGCTCTCCCATTGACTCCCTTGCTCTTGAATTTGTTGAATGCATGAAACAAGAATTTGAAATGAGCATGGTAGGAGAGCTAAGTTACTTCCTTGGTCTTCAAGTAAAGCAAACTGATTGTGGGCTGTTTATCTCTCAATCAAAATATATCAAAGACCTTGTGAAGAGATTTGACTTGGACAGTAAGAAACAACAAGGACACCCATGAGCACAAATGTTAAGTTAGGACATGATCCTACAGGTAAGACTGTTGATTAGACTGTGTATAGGAGCATGATAGGTAGTTCACCATATCTTATAGCCAGTAGAACTGACATAGCGTTTAGTGTTGGTGTATGTGCTATATTTCAAGCTGATCCTAAGGAGTCCCATCTAAGTGCAGTGAGGCACATTATTAGATATGTCAATGGGACAGTAGATCATGGGATCTTGTATTCTAGAGAGTCCAATCTAAAACTAGCCGGCTATTCTGATGCCGATTGGGTCGAAAACGCCGATGATAGAAAAAATACCTCGAGTGGATGTTTCTATGTTGGTTCTAACCTTGTCTCGTGGATGAGTAAGAAACAAAACTCAGTCTCCTTATCCACAGTCAAGGCAGAATCCATTGCAGCTGGTAGCTGTTGCACTCAACTGCTTTGGATAAAGTAAATGCTGAGTGACTATTGGATAAATCAGGGTACTATGACTGTTTTCTGTGACAATACTAGTGCCATCAACATATTAAAAAAATTGGTTCAGCATTCTAGGACCAAACACATTGACATTCGCCATCACTTCATTCGAGAGCTAATTGAGTCCAATGTGATATCTCTTGAACACATCTCTACTGAAAATCAACTTGCCGATCTATTCACTAAACCTCTAGATGAGTTTAGATTTGAGTAACTTAGGAAGGCTGTTGGCATCTGTGTTCCTCCCTGATCGTCTTCATAGATGCATGCATTCTTTTCTACATTCATTATGTTGCCTCTTTGTGTTCATTTGCATATGTCTTTCATTTTTTATAAATAAAAAAAGGGGGGATTGATCATCACGTGTCATTTTTGCATTGTAGTTGTTCACTCGGAGTTGCAATTTGAAATCAAATGTGCATTCTACACATGATTAGTTTCTAATTCCCATCACTTACCCTGAGTCTGTATGGAGTACTTAGTATAGGTCACTTCATATTATATTTGCACAACACACACTAGGACTATGTGAGTGACTCTTGACCGCATGTGTGAGACTTGGGATGGCTATCATCTATCGTTGAGTAGACTTGGATTTGAATTGATCTTGAACTAGATGACCTAACTTCTGGTGTACCCTCGAGTGTTTCCACAGAGTATTTATTATATCACATCTTATATCTATATTCGGAGCCTAGATGACTCGAGCAATTAAGTTTGAGGGGTTTCTCATAACCTGGTACCCTAAAGCCAACTAGTTTGGGAGTCACCGACCTAATGCTCGTTATAGGGGTCTTCGTAGTAGCTTAATGGAGATGGGATTGCACGTAAGATTAAAAAAAATTATTGAGGTCCTTAATGACAGGGAAAGAAAGAACAGTTTTATACCATATTTTAACGAAGTATAGGTCCTAGTGGTATTGGACCTTCAAACATCTAAGTGTTAACTCCTACATCGGTGATTTGGCTATCTCTTCTCACAAATTTAAGGTTTTGAGTCTTACTTACTTGGAATGAGTGGCATGTTTCACGAGGGGTCACATATACAATTTACTCCATCTGCACTTGGTCCCAGTGTGTGGGGAAATATTTTCTAATCATTGTGCATGCCGTATTATTGATCTATTGCCTTTAATTGGACCAACTGTCTCTGAATTGTTCGTGTATTTTAAATTTATAAAAAAAAATTTGGGGTCTAAATTCAAATTCTTGAAAAAGGTGCTATTTTTGAAAATTTCTAAAGTGCTGTTACTTTGCAAAATTTTAAACTTGGGCCTAACTTTTCAAATTTTCAAGATTAAGTGCTATTTTTGTAATTTGTGTTAATTTTTGGGATGGGATTTATAATGATAAAGTACTTTGATAGTGTACTATTGATATTTTTGGCTGGATTATATATTGATATTTTGCACTATTGATGTATGTTTTTGGTGGTTTGACTTACATTGATATTATCTCTAAATCTAGCATATTGGTACAATGTTATGGCTATTCATGACTCTTTATCTTTTATGTTTACTTATATTACTTTTTCTCATGCTTTTACACTAGGTATGTGAGTTGTGATTTCAGGAGACAGGTTGAAAGATGGCAAGGCAACAGTGAGTTAAGTTAGTGTATTGGATTGTCATTGTAGCTCATGCTGCTGTAACTTGGTTTTGTCACAGAATGCCCAAGGGGGAGTTTGTTAGATTTTGTGTTGGCTATTCTGTGAACAAAAGGGTAAAATTGTAAATGTTCAAAAGTTTGGGGTTAATTTGTCAATTATGAAAGGTTAGGGGTCATTGTGTACATGTGTAAAAGATGAGGGACTCAGTTGTAATTTAGAAAAAGTGTGCTAGGGTTCGAGCTATGAAGTAGGGAAAGATGTGTTGTTGAAGTTTCGCTAGCTGTTCGCCAAGTGCTCGCTTGAGCGACAAAAACAGAATGGTCGTCGCTCGCCTCTCGCCTCTCGCCCCCACTTCTCTCGAGCGAAAAAGCGTCGCTCTCTTTTC